CTGGGTAAGGTGGAGGGTCAGAGAAAAAGAGGAAGACCCCTAACAAGATGGATTGGCCAGGTGGCATCATTGATGGCGTCAAGTGTGGCAGCTGTAATGAGGTTGGCCCAGGATTGGAAATTGTTTCATTCTGCTCTGCATGGGGTCTCTATGAGTCAGTTCCGACTCAATGGCACCTGACAACAACAACAACAAAGTCTCTGGGGAGTGCTCTGCTACTACCCAAAAGGTTGGCAGTTCAAAGCCATGGAAGAAAGGCCTGGTGATCTATTCCCTTAAGGTTGTTGTTGTTCTTAAGTGCCCTTGAGTCGGTTCTGACTCATAGAGACCCTGTATAGGGTTTCCAAGGAGCGGCTGGTGAGTTTGAGCTTGAACCATTGACCTTGCATTCACACTGACCTTGCAGTCCAGCCATTAGCCCACATCACTATACTGAAAACCCTACTGAGTGCAGTTCTACTGACACACATGGCGTCACCACCAGTTTGAATGATTTGATGGCAACAATTTTCCTTTGTGCTAGGCACCAAAGATACAATTTGGCTCAAAAAGAACTCAAAGATATCTTTAATCTTGTAGAGCTGAAGAAAAAATACACAAACAATGAGAAAAACAGTGTCAGATTTCAACTGTGGCAGAAGCTGAATGAAGCTTGAGAGTCTTATGTTTAGATGCTAGGAAAGCGATGGATTTGGGCTTGATGAGTGGATGACGGAAAAGAACAGAAAGTATAAGGAGGGAGTTTTGTGACTATGAAGGACAAAGGCAGGACAGTGTACCTAGAGCACGGAAAACACATTGCAGGATGGCATTGGTGCAAGAGCAGGGTCCAGACCACACAAGACCTTGAGGGTCACCAACGAGTTTAGATTTTAGTCCATAAATAAGAGGAAGACTTGCATGGGTTTTAAGCAGAGAAACATCATGATGCAATTAATGTTCTATTTTGAAAAGTTCACTCAAACTGCCTTGCAGAAAACAGATTAGGCAGAGGAGGAGGGTGATGGATGGGGGCAGAAATGGAATCACTAAGTCCAGTTAGAATGCCATTGTGGTCATCTTTGGGAAATGAGCAGCAGCTTCTGTTGGGAGGACTGGAAACATTCACCAGCCATCTCCTGAAGTTTAAAGAGCACTAGACTTGGTAGACAAAGACAGGAGTGATGTTGAGTCCAAACTACTAGCCCTGTGATTCTGAGGGAGTGATTTCACTGATTTCAGTTTGTTTGATTGTCCAATGGTAAGCCATACTTCATGGCTTACCTACTTAGGATTTCAAATACAGAATCTCAGATATGGGAGGATGGTGAAAGGATGCAGCCAGTTTTCGGCCACATATGATGTTCAAACCTGCCTCTGTCTTATGCACTCAATCTTAAAAGTGTACTTGTGACCCTGGTAAGGTGTACATGGGGAATAGCACAACATTAGGCACTGAAGTACAACAACCTCTCTGTAAATGGTTCACCACCTGAACACCTTCAGAGATGGGGAAACTCACTCTTACCCCAAGAAGAGTCAGCTCATTGCTGCATCACTCTATTCATCAAAAATAGCATCCTCATATTTAGTTAGTGTTTGTTTCCTGGAGCTTCTGCCAAAAGTTCCTGAATCAGGTCACATGATGCAAGTACTGTGTCAACCTTTTAATGAACACGTTTCTCCAAATCTTTTTGAGGAATTGAATGTTCACTCTTTCTGCAGCAATTCTTCATGTGACATAGCTTTGTTCTTCTCTACCAGTTCCATTCCTTTAAATTAGTGTCCTCTAATTCCCTGGAGTCCTGGTGTGGTGCTGTGGGTTAGTGCGCTAGACTTCAAGGTCTGTAGTTCAAGCTTACCAGCTGCTCCTTGCCCACCCTATACAGGGTCACTATGAGTCAGAACTGACTAACAATCTTATTCCCTGCTATGGTGCTGCAGGATAATGTACTGAACCACAAGGTTAGATTGAACCACAACATCAGTGGTTCAAATCTACCAGGTGCTCCCTGGAAACCCTAGACAAGGTCACTGTGAGTCGGAACCCATTCCGCGGTACTTAACAACAACAAACAACATCTTATTCCCTAGAGTCCTGATGTGTCACTGGACCACAAGATTGGTTTGAACCACGAGGTCAATGGTTCAAACTCACCAGACATTCTTTGGAAGCCCTATACAGGGTCGGTGAGTCAGAACCGACTCCTTGACACTTAACAACAACATCTTATTCCCTCAATGTGAAACATCTAGGAACATTCTTTTCCACATAGAGAAAAATAACAACTATTTGATTCATTTCCTGAGTAAACATTGTCTCCATAGTGTGAAGAAGAGTTTTCATAAAGCAGAAAAAGGATGGAGTGCACAGGACAATACAGATAGGGTCCAAGTTTTTGAAAATGCTGAAACAACTGAATAATGCCTGGGCAGGTCTGGGTATTTTGCTGAGTTACAGTGTGACTTGAGACTCTTGAGTAGGATAAGCACTGTAAAACTCATGAGTTGAACTGGTGACTTCTTTGGTAAGTATTGTTGTTAAGTGCTGTCATTCAGTACCAACTCATAGTGACCCTACATAAGGTTTCTGAGGAGTGACTGTTGAGTTTGAATTGCCAAAATTGTGGATCAAACTGACCTTTTGGTCCAGGGCTTATCCTACAGTGTCACACCAGGACTATGGAAAGCTATGAGTCTGAGGCTTCCAGAGAACAGGTTTGAAAGGGCTTAGAGGGGTGGTAGCTTCAGGATGACACTTCCTTTATTAATGGAAAAGGATTGAAAGACAATAACTTATAATTTTGTGATTCAGTATTATGTGATGTCATGTTTAGCCACCATATACTACCACCACATGTAACATTCAAAATCATCTTGAATATACTTTGGGAAAGTCTTGGATTTGGAAATCTATCCTAATCAGACAGATCTCAGTAGAACTCTTAGCTAGAGGAGAATCAGACTCCGAGAAGTTCAAAGATAAATTTCTCACCTTATGTGTAATCATCACTTTTGTCTCTTGGATCCAGAATGAAATATCCTTTGCTTTTGTTTCAATCAAATTCTCCTTCTCTGTGACAGAGGAAGAATTGTACTTGTGCCCAATGGTGAATTCCACAAAGTGACTAGAGCATAGTTGTTCTCACTCTATTTCCAAAATAGTCTCCCTTCCTTTCCCTTCTAATCTATCATTTTGGGGGCCTTTGTCAATCAAGAGGGCAAGAATGATATGCTGTCTGGAAACATTTTGGGACATGATAAAACATGTATATCTTGTGTGTAAATGTATTTACATCCATGTGGGTATACCAACATTTGATGCATATGGAATTGCATTTTAAGGGATTTAAGTGTTTGTCACTTTGAGGGCAAGTGTTTACATATCTATATCTTTGTTGTCATGTGTGTCAATGTATGTGTATCTGTGAAAATAAGTGTGACTATGTAACTATGGGCTTTATCACCCCTGAAGGGCAGCAACCCCATGGATCCTTATTAGTAATAAGGAACAAAATGCCGAGGCAAATCTCTCTGACATTTGAATTCTCACGTATTCCTAATACAGGAGAAGGGTGCACTAGGACTTGACAGCTCTGCTAATGGGGCTCCAGCTGACTCTCGCCCCTCCCCATATCTCCTGCAATTGATGTATGAGTTTCTAATGTCTCTTCCCTTTGGCCTGCAGGTCCCTGTCCGGCCGCATCGTTGGTGGCGTCTGGTGGTTCTTCACCTTGATTATCATCTCCTCATACACAGCCAACCTGGCCGCCTTCCTGACAGTGGAGAGGATGGTGTCACCCATTGAGAGTGCAGAGGACCTAGCAAAGCAGACAGAAATTGCTTACGGGACACTGGAAGCAGGATCCACTAAGGAGTTCTTCAGGGTAGGGGCATCCCTTGTTGCAAGCACTTACACAAAGGGGAATTAACATGGCCATACAGGCAGCCAGGTCAACTGCTTAATTGAGTTCAAAGTAAGAAAACTCAGAGCATGTTTCCTTTATCTATAGGCCACTGAGAAATCTGAATTTCTACTTCAAGGAATCCCTGGGTGGTACAAACAGTTAACATACTCAATTGCTAACTGAAAGGTTGAAGGTTCAGATCTTCTCAGAGGCATCTGGGAAGAAAGATCGGGGGGTCTACTTCTAAAACCTCAGCCATTGTACACCCTAGTAAACACCCATTGTACATCCAATTAAACACAGTTCTGCTCTGACACACATGGGGTTGCTATGAGTCCGAATTGACCCAGTGGCAACTGGTGGTGGTGGTGGTGATGGTGGTGGTGGTGGTGGTAGAAGCTTCAAAGTTCCTGCACTGATGTGGAATCCTTGTGTGTGCCGAGTTCTCTGTGGGCTTCAAAGAATTTCAAATGCAATTCTCTCTGTCCCCACATCTAGCTAGTATTCAATTAGTCACTGCCAACTTGATGCTTTTAGTGTCCCCTCCTATCTCAAAATGGAGTGTGATGGCTCTGTAGGATAAGCACTCGATGGCGAACCACAATGTCAACAGTTCAAGCCCACCAGCTGCTCCTTGGGAGAAAGATGAGACTTTCTGCTTTTGCAAAGGTTTACAGCATCAGAAAACCTACCCATGTTGACTCAATGGCACTTAACAACCACCTATTTAATAGTAAGAGCCCAGAGGAGGTTGACTTGCTTGATGAAGAATTAGTATATAGGAGAACAAAATAGCTGGAATAGAAGGTCTATTCCATAGTGCTAGGTGAGAGAGAAAATGTGGAGTGGGTATGTATAGCTGGAGATAGTGAGCAAAGTCAGAAAAGCAGAGGGCGGCTTTGAAGTACAAGCTGTGGGGTTAGCCAAATCTAGGTCCAGAACGTGGCTCCATCCCTTATTTCTTCTTTGGGGCATAGCTTCTTTGATACCATTTTCCCATCTATAAAATAAGGACAATCATGCCCATCTCAAAGAGTTATGAAATTACAAGACATAGTGGTTACGAATTGGGCTGCGAACTGCAAGGTCAGCAGTTCGAAACTACCAGCTGTTCCACGGGAGAAAGGTGAGGCTTTCTGCTCCTGTAAAGATTTACAGTCTCGGAAACCCTGTACAGGGTCGCTATGAGTCGGAACCAACTCCACGGCACACAACAACAACAACAATGAATGGTTGCTCCATTTCCTATTAGTGTTTCAAAGAGAAAAGGGCATTTGGAAGTCCTCTTGAAAAGAGGTAGGAATGGCATCTACACAGGGCAGAGCTGAAAACATTTCTGGATATCAGAAAACCAGGTCTTCCCTGGGTAAGCTAAGGTCACACGAGGCAAAAGTCACAACTTAAACAAATGTCCCGGAACAGGAAAGCCTGAGGAGTAGACTTCAGTGTATTGTAATTTCTTGTCAGGGACAGATTACCCAATAAACAAGGTAAGCACATGCTTATTTGTGCTTCCCTACTAATCTGTAGTTAACAATGTTACTGTTCACTTCAGATTAATAAAGAAGCACAAGTAAGCCTGCACTTAACCTCTCTTCACTCCTGTCAGAGGTTGGAGAGACACAGATGCCAGTCATACGTGGAAGCAGATCTTTGATGTGGTGAAAAAATGTGAAATTGCTCACTACAGAATAGTAAAGAAACACAAGTAAGCCCATGTTTATGTTGCTTATTGGGCAATCCAACACTGTTCTTGTTCTTAGGCTCTGTGTTTTGAATGACAGACAGGAAGGAGACCAAGTCATAAGCAGTGCTGACCAGACTCCTGAGTTAAAACCATCCATGTCTAAATACTATGGCAAGAAGGAGCTTTCAAAGGCCTATGCCTGTCATTTTAGAAAAGGGAATGACTTGCTTGAGATTACCCACTTAGTTAGGAGGAAAATTCCTTGTAACCTTACAATTCATTGACATTTCTAGCCTGCAACCAGCATGTGGAGGAGGTACCTGATATTTGTCCATGAAGCCAGTCCTATGCCCCATTCCCAACAGGGCAGTTAGGAACCAGTGGATTCTACAAAGCAATGCTCTCATCCCTTTATCTATAGAACATAGGTTTATGGTCCCCAAAGTTTGCCCACAGCCATGGTTTCTTCTATGCCTTACCTGTGACCTAAGACCAAATAGGGATTATGAAGTCTCTTTTGTGGATAAAAAATTGAAATTCAATTAATTGCAAATGGCTGAAACATCTGAGTCTCTGGACTCCACCCCAAGTATCTTGCTACTGAGCCACACTACCTTAATGAGGTAGTGTCTGTCATTGATAAATGTTTGAGTTAAACTCTCTGCTTTATTACATTATAACTCTAGTCTCCAAAAGTTCAGGGTTGTATCTCCCAGTACAAAATTTAAGGTCATCCTCATCCCTCCCCCCACCTAGTATCTGCTCTGTGAGGGCCCAGCTCACCTGGACATTGGCTCCTGGAGAGAAGAGGGTCTTCCACTAGAGAGGTAATCTCAGAGAAGTGCTGGGGGAGCAACTGTCTCATTCACTCTAACCTTGGGCTCAGCCTGACCTTGCTTAGATGTTTGCAGCCTTAACTTTTTGCCCCTTCCCTCTATTTGTTCCGCCACATTGTTACCATTAATAATAATAAAATGGTAATAGGAACATTACCATTTTCTTCTGTTTTGAGTCCTTGGATGGTACAGCTAACACAGCAATTAACCAAAAGGTTAGAGGTTCGACTCCATCCAGAGGCACTTCAGAGAAAGGTCTGGTACTCTACTACCAAAAAATCACCACTAAAAACCCTGTGGAGCACAGTTCTACTCTGACACACATGGGCTCATAAAGTCAAATCAATGGCAACGTGTTTTTTGTTTCTTGTTTGTTTCCTCACATTTGGGCTTAAATGGAACTTCCCACCAGTCACTTTCTTATCCCCCGTCTTTGTTCACTTTTCATGCTACCTTCTAGTTATTTATAAGAAATAGTCATCCCCTCCTCTACTTCCCAGCTTCTCTTTATTTTTATGCCAGTTAAAGTCTCATTACCCATGTTTGCATTCTTTATTGTCTAATCTGACATCACTTTGTTTAACCTTTCTACACTGCAATGTTCTACTGTGTATAAGGTTGCTAGGAGTCATAACCAACTCGATGGCACCTAACAACAACAACAACATTGCAATGTAACTTCAGACTACATCCTATAAGGCAGAGTCTTTCATTTCTTCTCTCTTTTGCTAACAAGAAGGCTATCCACCAGAGTCCTGTTCTTACAGCCTTTTTGGAATACAAATTCTTCACTTTCCATGCTAGATGGGCCTGAGGACAAACAGACTTTAACCCACTGTTTTATAGTTAGAAAAACTGAGAGCCTGAGAAGAAAATGGGCATAGCCCAGATAATTAGAGGCACAGCTGAGACTTAAGATTTCAAAATTCTCTATTCATAACTATGTCCACAGCACAAAGCTAATAATCTGGAGCCAGGGTGGTCAGCATTCTACCAATTCTGTGCCCTAACAGGACCTCCTATATAAATAACATTTAAATTATACTTCATGCCAAACTTTGGTTGCTTGGTAGTGGCTGCCTGAAGTTTAGTGTTGAGAAGGATTCTGAGGTTATGTATGGCCTTGATGAAAAAAAGAATATCTTGATTGGTTCTATGCAATGGATACAGGAAAGGAAACTGCCATCAGGCATCCCTACTCTAAAGTAGGTTAAGCACTAAAGGTTGGCAGTTTAACCCACCAAATGGGTCTGTGGGAGAAAGGCCTGGGGAATTTGTTCCCGTAAAGATTGTTGTGTGCCCATGAGTTGATTTCCACTCATAGCAACCCTATAGGACAGAATAAAACTGTCCCATAGGGCTTCCAGGAGTCCTGGTATGATGGTGTAAGATAAGCATTGGACTGCTGACTTCAAGGTTGGGAGTTCAGTCTCACCAGTTACTACTTGGAAACCCTATTCAGGATCACTATAAGTCAAAACTGACTTGAAAGCACTTAACTACCACAACAAGGGTTTCCTACGGAGCCCTGTTGGCATTGTGGGATAAACCTTGGACTGCTGACAGCAAGATCGGCAGTTCAAATCCACCAACTGCTGGACAGGAGAAAGATAAGGCTATCTGTTGCTATAAAGACTTACAGTCTCAGAAAGCTTATATAGGATTGCTATGAATCATAATCAACTATATAGCCATTGGTTATGTGATTTTGTTTATGTGATTTCCTGTTGTTGAGTGCCATCAAGTCGGTTCTGACTCATAATGACCCTGTATAGGATTTCCAAGGAGTGACTGATGGGTGTGAACTGCAGAACTTGTGATTCACAGTCCAGTGCTGACCCTGTAGCACCACACCATGAGTCCTAGACTGTAGTTTTTACAGGAGCAGATCACCGGGTCTTTTTTTTCCCCGAGGAACTCCTGGTGGGTTCAAACTGTCAAATTTTCGTTAAGCAGCAGAATGCTGTAACCACTGTACCACCAGGAAACCTTCTCATAACAATTGTTATTGTTGTTAAGTGCTGTCTAGTAGGTCTGACTCATCGTGACCCTGTATAGGGTTTACTAGGAGCTCTTGGTAAGTTTGAACCACCAACCTTGCTGTTCAAACCAACCTTTGGCAGCACACCAGTACTCCAGTAGCAATTGTTATTGTTATGTGCCATCGAGTCAGTTCCGACACATAGTGACCCTGTACAGGGTTTCCAAGGCTGTAAATCTTTATGGGAGCAGAAAGCCTCATCTTTCTCCCACAGAGCAGCTGGTAGTTTCGAACTACTGACCTTAAGGTTTGCAGCCCGATTTGTAACCACTACGCTACCAGAGCTCCAGTAACAATTACAGCCTAGAATATCCTTCATGTCAGTGATACTTTGTCACACAAGATTACTCTAAGTCAAAATCGGCACTTAACTACAAGAACCCTAAAGTAAACGAAAGTAAAACATGGAGAAAGGGCATAATTTCTGGTAGTAATTGCATCAGTTACTGAATGCCTACTATGTGCAAGTCACTGGTCTATGAATTTTGCCTGTGTCCTCATATAATTTTATAATAAGACTTTACAGAAGGTACTATGATTACCGTTGCTAGGAAAAGAAAACGGAAGTCCAGAAGGGTGATGTTACTTGCCTAAAGCCCCACAGTTTGTAAATTCTAAAGATTAAAATGAGGAAAGCAGCTGATTGTAATGGAAATGCACCAAAGTGGAATCAGAGGACACAGGTATTACTCCTGATCCTGCCGCTAATAAACTGCATGACACTGAGCACTTAGTTCATTGTCACATTGCAGGCCTCAGTTTCTTTATCTGTAAAAGGAGCATGCTGATTAACAAACTCCATGAATCCTTCCATCTCCGGGGCTCTAACCTTGAGAATGACCCCACCAGGATCTTGGTAGGTGAAGACAAGATCACCTGCCATCTCCATAGCCAAAAGAAGAAAAATATAAGAATTCTTCCAGCCCAGTCTCTGAGAAATCTAGCTTTAGGTCCCCATGGCAGCCCCGAGCTTTTTGGCAGCTCCAACCCAGTCACTTAATCCTCCATCGACAATTTAATTAAGATATGAGAAGAGCTGTGGGAGCTACAGATGATAGGAGAGATCCAAGAACAAATACCCTGAGTACGCTTCCAAATCTTGCCTGCCACTCATCCTCCCTTCTCATTCCTGGAGATTAGATTATCCTGATCATACACTCCATGTGGTTATGAACACAGCCTATGCAGGTGTGGCACTGGGGTGAGGCTGAGAGGACATATTAATTTTCTGCATACCACTGCCCAGGGGCACTTCAGCTCTGCCTGCAAGCAGCCTGGTCCCCTGCTGTGTCCATCCTGTCAGGTTCAATTGTATCTTGTGATTGCCCTGCTGTGTGTGTTCTTGGTTTTGGTCCCTGGAAGATCATCTGCAAATCTTGTCAAGGCTGAATTTATATATTTCCCTTTTTTCCCCCAGGAGAGAATATTAAATACTATGGATGGCTCAGGGTACTTCTTCCCTAACCTTGGAAACCTCTCCCACTTCCTTTTTCTCTCTTCTTTCTTAGACTGATGTTAATAATTGAATGATTTACCTTCATGTAAAGAATTATGAAGGTATTTCAAGCTAGTAAATGCCTTAAAAATCACCAGGCCCAAATTCCATATGGTACAGATGGGGAAACTAAGGCCCAGAGTGAGGGAATTTTCCAGACTCCAGATCCTGAGTTAGAAGTAGAACTAAGATTAAAACCAAAGGCTTCTCATTCTCAATCCAGTATCCGTTCCAAATTATAAACTATAAAACAAATTATCTAGTTTATCTAATTATAGACTTTAAAAATTAATTAAGACTCACTCTACTCAATACCACCCTGAAATTCTCAATAATTAGTTTCATTAATTTTCCCTTGAGAGCTAGAATTTTCCTGGGCTCCAAATATCTCTAAAGATCAGTTGGCTAATTGCGTAGCATACCAATATCTTGAGGCATTAGCAAGGATATTTACCTGATACCTGTGTGCAGATTATAGACAATGTATATAATCATTTTGTATCAAGTAAATCTCTGATTTCTATATCAGCTATTTGATTACATAAGTTGTAGAGCCCTGGCTGCATAACAGTTTACCTCAACTGCTAACAAAAATGTTGACGGTTCAAACCTAGCCAGCCACTACATGGGAGAAAGACCTTGCAATCTCTTCCCATAAATATTAAAAACTGTATGAGGCAGTTCTATTCTGTCACATGGGGTCTCTAAGAGTCTAAATCATCTTGACAACCCCTCAGCAACAACATGACTCTAATAGCTATTGTTAAGTACAATCAAGTCAGTTCTGACTCATAGGGACCCTGTAAAGAGTTTCTGAGGAGCAGCTGGTGGGGTTGAATTATTGACCTTGTAGTTAGCAGTCTAGTACTTATCCTACAGGGCCACACCAGGACTCTAATAGCAGTTGTCTTAAACACATAAGAGGGACTTTTGTTTTAAACACTTGTCAGTTTACAAGCATTTTCAAAAGTCAAAATAGATCCTCCCTTTAGGGATGTCATATGCTTTGGAAAGAGCAAGTTGGATGAGAGGGTTGTATTGTGGTTCTGAATCGTGGGCCCTAAGAGCCTAGTATGTGTAAGGTATTTGATTAGACTCAATATAGGTCCTGCACACAGTTCCTGTCCTTGGGTACATTCCAAATACTTAAGACCTACGCACCGGAAGGTGGTAGACTGCAATCCTGGCGATCTAGCCAGATCACCCAGTGACTTCCCCAGACACTCTATAGGAATATCAACCCTCACAATACTGTCTCTCACAGTAAGAGCCACACAAGTAATCATAGTCACATGGGAAAATTCTGAAAAAAAATTATTCTAGGTCCCACTGCAGATCTGTTGATTCAGCATCTCTAAATTCAAAGCTAGGGAATCTGCATTTTTACTTCTGTCCATAATTCTGGGAACCACTAAAATTTGAGTGGGTGGTCTCAGAACATATAAGACTTATTCTGGTAGGATTTGACTAGATTGTAACAGCCTTTTTAAGTAAATATCCTAAGCAAACTGCCAAAAGAAGGAAGGCACCATGTGAGTTTGGGAGCAAATAAGGAAAGCAGTTTGGCTAAATTTGAAGCCTTTGAAAGTATAAACAGTTGACAACTTCTGGTCCCAAGATAGTAGCATTATCAGACAATAATTTACATTCTGAGGTTAGGTCTTGCAATCTGGGATGACTGGGCCTTGTTGCTCATGGTCCACTCTGAAGTGTTGTCTTTAAATCATGAACTCAGATTTTGCTAGTCTTCCACTCAGCACTCTGCTGTAAATGTGGCCGTACTGAACAATAGATCATCTCCTCAGTGTCTTTAAAAGACAGACAAGGTCCCAGTTTCTTAACTGTCCCCATACTTAAACTGAAAGTAATTACTCAACAGTAATTAAAAAATTCTGATCTATTCTATTCATTCTGTATTTGCAAGATATTTGTACATTGGAGCCTACTGGTACTAATTAGAGCCTCTTATTTTGCAATCACTCATAATTTGTTTCTTCCTGAGCTAATCTTGCTCATGAATGTGTGATCAAGCTGTACTTGGTGCTTCATTAGTGTGTGTGCCGACCCCAATTCCAAGCGCAGCCAGTACTGAATTCTGGCTTTGTTTATGTCCCCTATCAGAGGTCTAAAATAGCCGTGTTTGAGAAGATGTGGACATACATGAAGTCAGCAGAACCATCAGTTTTTGTGCGAACCACAGAGGAAGGGATGATCCGAGTAAGGAAATCCAAGGGCAAGTATGCCTACCTCCTGGAATCTACCATGAATGAGTATATTGAGCAGCGGAAACCTTGTGACACCATGAAGGTGGGAGGTAACTTGGATTCCAAAGGCTATGGCATTGCAACACCCAAGGGGTCCGCCCTGAGGTAAGTAGCTGAGATTTGCTTCCTTGATACTCCCTTCCCTTCCTATCTCAGGAATGAAGCTGCTGTGTCTACCACAATGCGAGCTGTCAAGAGGGCCCTTCTTCAAAGCTTGTGGGCCTGAAGAATTCAGCTAACTGAGGTTGAAATTGACCTGGGGACCCTCATCTTGCTATGACCATTGCTGCCTGTGTGTTTTTGTCCATGCCTCACCTTATCTTTTCAAGTGTGTTAAACATCATGGAACTTGTGTCTTTGTTATGTGGTCTGTAATACCCCATCCTTTACCAGACATTCTTGCATCCAACTAGGCCACAAGCAGGGTTTTCCAGCAACCTAGAGTCTTTGACAAAGGTGGTTAATGTTTATTTCAAAAGAAACACAGACACTTTGCCAAAAGAAAAATCAAGCTGTTTGATTTCTTAGGCATTGACTATAGATATGGAAAAAAACACTTAATGTAGTAAAGGGAAGTACCAATTCTTTCCTAGACACTGATTTCTTTAGGAGGACACAGCTAGGTCAGTAAAGAAGCAAAGTTGTCCTTAATTTCAAGTAAAGAAGATTCGATAGCCATTTTTAGCAGCTAATGTGGTTCTGACTCACAGTGACCCTGTATAAAGTTTCTGAGGCTGTAAATCTTTATGGGAGCAGAAAGCCTCATCTTTCTCCCACGGAACAGCTGGTACTTTCGAACTGATGACCTTGAGGTTCGCAGCCTAACTCATAACCATCGCACTATCAGAGCTGCTCAGCAGCTTATATGTTGTTGTTGTTGTTAAGTGCCGTCGAGTCAGTTCCGACCCATAGCGACCCTGTACAGGGTTTCCAAGGGTGTAAATCCTTACGGGAGTAGAAAGCCTCATCTCTCTCCTGCGGAATGGCTGGTAGTTTCGAACCGCTGACCTTAAGGTTCGCAGCCCGATTCGTAACCACTACGCTACCAGAGCTCCTAGCAGCTTATATAGAGACCTGAATTAAATATAGGTCTTATGACCCAACTCTTTAGGACTCTGCTTAGAGAACGTAAGATAAAGCATCTCCCAGTTTCCCCATCTGTACAAGAATGATCATCCCAGCCCTTTCTAAGTGGTTACGAATGAAAATGGATGTATGTAGAAGGCAATTAAAACAGTACAATGTGAAGTCATTTGTGAGATTTATACTAATCACAGAGGGATTCAATCATTTTAGGGACTTAATTTAGAGATTCCAGTTGCATTCAAAGAAAGATCTCACTGCCATCAAACAATTTCAACCCTGCATAGGATTTTTGAGGCTATAAATCTTTACGGGAGCAAAAATCCTCCTTTCTCCCACAGAGTGGCCAGTGGATTTGAACCACCAGCTTTGTAGTTAGCAGTTCAATGCTTATCCCACAATGTCACACTCGAAGTCTTAAAGAAGAGTAGAAGCGTTAATAATGGTTGCACAAAGATGGAGAAGAGTTCTGTAACAACCAGGATCACCTTTGTCTCCAGTTAATCATTCATTCTAGTCATATTGAGCATTTACAACATCCCAACATTAAGCTAAGAGTTGGAGCTACAATTCTGAATAAGACGGACATAGTCTCCTTCCCCATAGAACTACATTCTTACAGGAAAGACAGGCCTTAAGGAGCTGATTATTGCCATTAAAAAACTGATAATGTCTCATGACAATTATGGCAGGAATTATGATAGTCTCTAAAAGGGGACCTGGAGAAAATCTACTTATAGCAATATGGTAGAACAAACTCTACTATAATTCTACACCTACATACGCTAGATAGGATTTACCAAATATCTCTCTAAAGCCAAGTAAGGAAATCCTAGGGTCAAAAAAAAAAAAAAAAAAGTAGCATAAGCTGATTATGCAGAGACTGCCTTAAGGAAGGCAAAGTTACAGATTATGTGACAATCTTTTTGAGCAAGAATCAGTAGTACAATTAAAAACATAGATGTAAAGTGACAATCTTTTTGAGCAAGAATCAGTAATACAATGAAAAACATAGATGTAAACAAAGATATTTTTAAGAGATATAATAAAAAACCTGAAATATTTGAAAAAGTACCAATTGGAACTTACAAATGTAAAAGTGTAGTCATTGAAATAAAATCTAAATGCAATCGTTTATACAGAAAATCAGACAAAATTGAAGAGAGAGTTAATAAATTGGAAAACAATGTTTTTAAGAGAATTTCCCAGAATGTCACACAAACAGACAAAAAGACAGAAATCATAATAAAGAAGTTAAGAGAAACAAAAAGTGTCCATTGTACACATGCTCTAAGTTCCATGTGGAGATGAAAGAGAATGAGGTAGAGGCAATATTTGAATGGTATTTTCCAAAATTTAAGAAATCCTAGATTTCAGAAATTCTGAGTCCTAAGTAAAGCAGTACCTGATGTACTTCAAACTGCAGAACAAAAAAGACAAATAGAAGACCTCAGGCACACATAGAAATAATAGGTTCCAAAAGATGTCAGCCTGAGGACTAAGGTACACCTAGCCCAAGCCATGATATTTTCCATAATCTCATATGCATTCAAAAGCTGGACCATGAATAAGGAAGACCATAGAAGAATTGATGCTTTTGAGCTAGGGTGTTGGAGAAGAATACTGAAAGTGCCATGGGCTGCCAAAAGAACCAATAGTTCTGTGCTGGAAGAAGTGCAGCCAGAGTGCTCCTTGGAGGCCAGGATGGCCAGAGTTTGTCTCTCATACTTTGGACATATTGTTAGGAGAGACCAGTTGTTAGAGAAGGATATCATGTTTGGTAAGGTGGAGAGTCAGAGAAAAAGAAGACGACCCCCAGCAAGATGGACTGGCAAAGTGGCAGCATCAATGGGGTCAAGCGTGGCAACAATTGTGAGGTTTGTTGCATTGTACATAGGGTCGCTATGAGTTGGTACCGTCTCGATGGCACCTAACAACAACAATCTGGTCTGCTGCAATAGATGTGGGGCACTTGGAAATGCTTCTTCATGGATTTTTGTTTTCAAGCTAAGTTATGAGAGATTAATAGATGTTCACTAGGTGAAATGAGTGAAGGGGAAAACAATAGTCCATGAAGAAGAAGCAGCATCTGCAAGGACTCTAAGGTGAGAAACCATGATACAGCTGATGAACTAACAGAAGCTAAGTGTTCCTGGGACACAGGCAATAAAGGAGAGAAAACCTTGATCTGCAATTGGAGAATGACGGAATAGGATTTTATAAAGGATTCTTGTCCTTAGTCTGAGATCAATGACAATCACATATTGAATAATTTGATGTAATCATTTGAGAATTAGAGGAATAAAGATATCTGTAGGAGCGTAGACATAATTGAATGTGACCTCATGAAAGCCAGCCAGATGATCTGGTCCTTAACAATCTTTAAGGCAAAAATCAATGCATTTTTGCCTGGAAGAACTTAAAATAATCTTTGTCCAATTTTAGGCAAAGTTTGAAGGGGATCTAGTAGGCAGTACTTGACATGAAGAGATTTTTATCTCTGAAACACCTAGTGCTCTGGTGGTGGTGGTGGTTGTGTTCCATGGAGTTGATTCTAACGCATAGCGACCCTGTATAGGGTTTCTGAGGCCTTAAATCTTCTGGGAGCAGAAAGCCTCACCTTTCTCCCAGAGAGTTGCTGGTAGATTCAAACTGCTACCTTGTGGTTAGCATCCAAACTCATACCAGGGCTCCTTCCTAGAGCCCTAGAAAGACCCAAAGAATGAGTTCTGACAGGTCCAGAAACCTTAATGATACTGCAGTATTGCAACATTCCAAAGGTTTTATCTGTGAAGGACAACATTTGGTCCAAATACTGGATGTAAAGTTAAGAAAACTGGGTCCAGACAGATGATATAATTTGCACAGTCAACAGAGTACCTCTGCCATCCCATTCTGTACACGGGTGCCTGGAACAATGGAACAACTCAGAAAAAGTTGGATGTCTGAGTGATAGGCAGCTAAAACACAAGTAATCTAACACTAAAATTTCCAATATAATAAAAACCACCATTTAATGGGTGCCTATTATATGCCACATGCTATGACATGTGTTTATGTGCATCATCTTAGATAATTACCCCCATTTTACATTTGAGAAAACAGAGACAAAATGTTACTTGGCCAAGTTGACAGAGCTAGCAATGAAGGAGCTATTCAAGCCTTTACAGTCTGACTGCAGAGCCCTATAACTTACTGTAACTGTATACTGAGTTATATGACTAACAACCATTGAAGCCAGGAGACTGGACTTAGGCCAGGATCTCTGTACCTATTCAAATGGGTGAAACATTGACCATCAATTCAGATGTCTGAAGCCCACAGCATCTACTCACCACTCTGAAGACAAACACATTTATGACCACTCACTTCAGTGTACCGAGTCCCACTACCTTTATGGGTTTAGTATGCCCAATTACTCTTCCTAGAATCAATGTTAAAATTTAGTAAACTCTATAATAAAAAAATATATATAATTATATTCTTTTGCATATCTGTACAAGGCATCATAAACCACTTACCAATTGTGAGTCCAAATAAAAGGGAGAGAGAAATGAAAATAACATGGTCTAAATATAGGTCACTGATGGCTAAACTCTAAGTCAAGAAATATCCAATTAATGGTCACAAGAACCCAGCCCACTCACAGTGTTGCTTTCCCTCCTGTACGATAGATAGCCACAGGCCTTCCGGATTCACAAACAATAGAGTAATTTCTCTCCTGTACGATAGATAGCCACAGGCCTTCCGGATTCACAAACAATAGAGTAATGCCTATCCTTCGAGAATCATGAAGTTTTGGCCTGCAGAAGTCTCTCTTCTCTTCCTGGAATCCTACTTCTCATCTCTACATTAAAACGGATTGTTGTTTGTGATGGAGACTTAGCAACCAATATGAAAAGGTTCCAGACAGCATACCATTGAGAAACAATGACAGAAATTATAACCTCTCTCTGCCTACACCCACACAAGGATACACACACTCTCCCAATCAGTCTTCTATCTCCAACCCTCTGCTTCAC